CTACACTCCTGTAGCCACGAGATGGAGCAGCTCAGTCACAAACAGCTCCGCAGAGCCACCGGATGAAGGCGATGGGACACTTCATCCCGCTTCTGCCTCACCCTGAGGCAGCAGGCAGTTTTGGATCACAGCACTGGATGCTCTCTTTTCTCGAGCAGGACAAATACTTTTCTCACTGGTTAGGATATGATTAAAATCGAGAAAAACCTCACCACGTCTTCGCTGCACAGCCCTGTGTGGTTACTGACGTTGTAAACTGGAAGGCTGACAAGCCCCATGCTGACACTTCCCAAGAGCCAGGACTGACAGCAGGAGAAGCCAGGGCCTCGGCTGGCACAGCCCAGCACTGCAAAGAGAAGGTTTGCCCTAAGGGCAAGCACAAGGGATCGGCAGAATTTCCCTGGTTGCCACTGAGGGATGTGTGTGTGTCCTGAAGGTGAGATATCTGTGTGGCAGCAGCAATATAGCAGAGTCCTCAATACCAACAAATAAATGCATGTGAAGCAGCTCCTTCATCAGGAAAAAGGCACAAGATGCATCCAGCATCTGAAATAATGTGAAACAGGAGGTGCTTCACACACTGGTGGCATTGGTGACACACACAGAGCTGCCAAGAACAGAGAATGTGCAGAGGTGGTCCTCCTCTCCCATGTCTCCAAAAAAAGGGACCCACACTTGGCTTTGGGGACTTTGTGAAGAGACAGAGAGCAGAGCCTGCGCTGAGAACAGAAAAGTTCCCTGCTGCCCACTGCTTTCCCCCCTGCATCCCAAGTAAGCCATCAGTGAACAGCTGGGAGTTCTCCATGGGCTGTCCCAGCCTTTCCACCGTGCTGCTCACTCGGATTCATGTCACCCTCTCCATCGGCCCTCAGCATCACACTCTTCCATCCATCCCATTTTGAAGGGAGAGGAGCCTTCACACCTTGTCCCAGGTGCATTTGTACACCTGTCCATGCCTTCCTGGCCATTCCTTCCTTGCAAAACTCACCAGGATAGTGCTGGGAAAAAAGCAGATTGCTCACTGGGGGTGGCTGAACCCCCCCTGCCGCTGCTGCTCCTCCATCCTGCCCTTCCCAAAGTCTCTCTGCAGATGTGGAGCCTCAGGGGCTCAGTGCAGCCAGGGAAAACCTTGCCCAGCCTCCAGCAAGGTGGGCAGTGCTCAGGAGGGTCAAAGAGAAAATGAGACAGAGGAAAAAGCAGCGAGGCTGGGAGGGGAAACCTCGTGTGGGAAGAGAGAGCGCCCGCTGTGAGCGTTGGTGGCACTGTCAGAACTGACAGCTGCAAACCCAGAGCAGGGCAGGAGCACAGAGGAGAACTAACCTAAAAATGAAAACTTTGGTCTTGCTGGTGAAGAGGAACAAAAAAAACACATACTGAAGAAACTCCACCAATATAATCCAAACTACACTTAAAAAAAAAAAAAAAAACCAAAACTCCAAAACATCTACAATATATCAATAACATCATTGTGTTGAGAACCACAATGAAAGTGTTAAAGAAAAATTCAAATTCTCCTAAAAACCAACTTCACCATCAAAAAATACAAAATTGAAAAACCTACTCAAAAAATTCAATTCCTAAAAATAAAATAAAAAAAACACATCATCAAAAAAATTACAATATCTCCACCAACCAACATAAAAGCCCACAATTTTTCCTAAACACCATAAACTTTTAAAAAATAGGCATTCTCAAATACAACCAAAATATAAACCCTCTCTACCTAATCATCCACAAAAAAGCCACTTTCCAATAAAACCCTAAACAACAACAAATAAAAAATTTAACTACAACAATAAACCTATCAAAACATAACACAAATATCGTAAAACAAACTCAGAAAACCCAAAAACCTCCCACGAGACAAAAAACCCAAAAACTCACTTAAGCTTGATTTTCAATACAAATACAAACCATAAAAATGAAACCTCACAATCCTTCTAACTTTTTAAATTTTAAACAAGAAATATCAAAGAAAAAAAAAAAACCACCACAAAAATAACTAACCTATATCAACCAAGCATTTGTAAAAACATCACTTTTTAATCCTTCAATATCAACTCACAGCCTGCCTGAGCTGGGCTTTGTTCACATCCAGAATGCAGCCACAGGCACAAGAGCACCGCAGGATACACAGAAGTGAAACCTAGCTGAGAAATGAGATGAGGTGCTATTCATTCATATTGGTTTTTTCCTTTGGTGGTGTTTCTTTTTTTTTTTTTCCCTTAAATAGTCATTTCAACTAAAATACCCCGGGGAAACCCCAAGGGACTCTTTCTTCTCTCATCTCCTATCCCCCATCTATTTCACAGATGTACAGTTTTAATTTAGCCAATATAATCCTCAGGTTTGAAATGTAAGGAGCATGCAGAAGACCAAGCAAAACTACATCTGTGGCCTTTCTTTGCCTTTTTGGAAAGAATATTGCAAACATGCATACAATGGCCAAAAACCCCACTTTTTTTCCCCTTTCTACCTGAACAAAATCATCACCTGACACTCTCCATAGGTATATTCCCTGCTCCCTAGGGGTATAAACAGATGTAAGAGTAACCCTTGACTCTTTTGAAACACCAAGTTGAAGTGAACATACCACATCACCACTGAAAATCAGCAATCTTTTTCCTTTCTGATATCATGAAAAGTAAGGGAAACAATGACAGGATTTAGCTCAAAGCACGTTTTGACAACTAATGCTCTACCCATGGATGTTATGTACAATCAATAAAATCCTGTATTTGGGAAAAAAACAAAAACAAAAATAAAAACCTAAAACCAAACAAAAAAAACAACCAACAAAAAAACCACACGCACACAAAAAAAACCCACAAAAAACACACAAAGGAAAAAGAAAGAAAAAAAAAAAAAAACCAACAACAAAAAACCCAAAGAAAGGCTGTAGAGGCAGATTTCTTTCCGCGTTACCAGACCCTGGTTTTAAGGGTGACTCAGAGGTGTGAGTCCCACAGGTTTAGGTCTCACATGAGCTGGGGAGTCCCTGTGAGCAGAGCAGACAGCGTGGGGAGGCCACCCTGCCCTGGGGATCTGGGGTGGAACAAACAGCAGCAGCACCTGGGCCTTTCTGACACTCTGACCAGCAGCTGCTTTGTGTGCAGCTCACTCTGCTGCCTGAAAACACAAGACTGCAGAATTCTACAAGCTGAGAAGGAGGAAAAGTCAACAACCAGAGCACGAGGCAGCCCAAAGGTAAGACGACAAGAGATATTTTACTATAGCAAAAGCTTGCCTTAAAAGTTTCCTCTTGTCACAAGATCCAAAAACGAATTATATTTTACATAATTTGCATTGCTTACAGCATAGCTAACTTTTTAAATGACTGAACAAAACTTCCCTTTGCATTTATGCTTTATATAATATTTTTTCTGTTTATTCTTTAATAAATCTGCACAACAGATCCTAGTCTGAAACATCCTTTAATTACAGTGAAAATTTTCTTAGTTAAGCATCTTGGTGAGAAGCTGAAATTCTATTTCTCTAGACCCAGAATTTCTTAGACACGCTATCAAACAAATTAAAAACAAGACTGAAGAAAAGGGAAAGTAGTAATGAAATCTCCTACAGAGGCATTGAAGTAAAGAACTTTGTCAGTATTTATTACTTTTCAGAAATTCCTTAATTAACTTTTCCATCCTTTGGCTCTCAGTAATGGGCTCTCACCCAGCATCAGACTCAGAGTGCTTCATGCTGCTTTTCTTACTTCTGTCTAAGCCAGTAACTTACAGAATCTCACTTACCTGCCATTACCATGTCTTTAAGGAGCAAAGAACTAAATTTTCTTTTTTGCTGATCTTAATCTCACTCAAAGAGATCTTAATCTCTCAAACTACAGTAAGGGAGAGTTTACCTGTGAAATATCAGGGGGGTGACTTGATCTGCAGGACAGAAACTTTGCTCAGTTGACAAAATGGAACAGCATCAAAATCAGCAGCTCATGTAGGAAAGACACTGGTTTGAAGTAAAAACTAGAGAACAGCAGGGGAAATTAATATCTGGGTGCTGACAGAAAGATCTCTGGCAGATTTTATTTACAGATTCCATTTGCTGTCATGGAACTGGCTGGAGGAAAGGATCTGGTGTTCCTAGCCATTTGCATTTTTAAGTGACTACAGCACTGCAGAAACCAATGAGCACCTTCCCAGTCCTTATCAGGAGAGTCTGAGGGCAGGATCAAGCCAGAACCCTTCCTCTAAAGAAAATTACTTTGTGACCCCAGCTCAGCTCAGAGCTTGCCTGTGACTCTTCCAGTCCCCTCTTGGCAGAGGCGAATCCAGCTGCATGTTTCCTGTAACCCCTGTCTCTGCTCTGGTAAGTCTGGCTCATTTAGACAAAATCTCATCCTTCTACCGAAGACTTAACCTCTGCCAGAACTAGCCCATTAGAAGCTTTCTGCCTGCAGCTTTCAGACAGCTTTTAGAAGGGCCAGAGGTACTCACAGTCCCTCTTTGCCCTGGGTGGTGGGGAAGGTGCAGGATGGCAGTGACTGTATGGGATCTTCACATTAATAAATGTGGGGCACCCTTCTGTTCTTGGCTCCCCAAGATCTCATTTGATACCTTGATGCAGGAAACAGGAGACACATAATTGCTTCCACCCTCATGTTCCAAGAACCCCTAAAATCAGGGTCTGCTACCTTGGTTCTGCAAAGAAACCTCTCCAAAGGGATGGTGCAGTCACATGCTCTGCCCAGCCTGAATTACAGGAGAGCACAGTCTGGGGTTACAGCTAGCAGTGCAAGTGAGAGTGGACACCAGAAAGCCCCATTCCCCCTTGATGTGCAAGCTTGCCCCAAAATCAGTGGCACTGAGCAGCTCCATGCTACCAGGAGCTGCAATTCAGCACACTGCTGTCCAAGAGGGGGGAAAAAGTGGATTTCCAAGGCTGTAGATAAATAGAGACCTTATTACCCCTTTTTCTATGTCTTCTACTGATCTTCATCCTTCCTTGTGGTGATTTTCTTCTCTTCCAGAATACTTGGAGATATGAATAACACCCATGGCAAGGGCAATATCAGTGCTACAGTGGAACTGTTCCAGCTCATCATGTACACCCCCACTTTTATCCTGGGATTGCTGTTCAACATAATGGCTCTGTCATTCCTGTTCTTCAAGGTTAAAAAGCTGTCAGAATCTACAGTCTACATGATGGCCCTTATATTCCTGGATACTTTGCTGTTGTTTACTCTCCCTTTTAAAATCATTTCCTACCATCTTCAAGACAACTGGAACTTGGGGTCAGTGTTTTGCTCCACATTGGAGAGTCTTTACTTTGTGAATATGTATGGCAGCATCCTCATCTCCCTGTGCATCTGCGTGGACCGGTACGTTGCTATCCAGTACCCCTTCGTGGCCCTCACCCTCAGGTCCATCAAGAAAGCTGCCATGGTCTGTGCTCTCATCTGCCTGGGCACCTCCGTGGGGACACTCTCTACTTTCCAGCTCCATGGGAAGGGCCACAACATCTCGTCCTGCTTCCATAACTTCTCCAAGAGCACGTGGGAGAACGCAGGCCTGTTCAGCACCCTGGTGATCATCTTCTTGGGCAGCCTGGCAGCCATGACCTTCTGCACTGCCCAAACTGTCCGCTGCCTGAGAAGGCACAGAAACCCAGACAACCTCCAAACACACAGCACCAGGGCAGAGAGGATTGTGGTGACAAACCTGGTGGCCTTCCTGGTGTGCTTCACGCCTTACCACGTGGCCTACATCATGTACTTCTTGGTGAAGAACAACATCATCCACATCAGTTTTCAACAAGTGCTACGAGACATTGTCCAGGTCACCCTTTGCTGGGCAAACCTGAACTGCTGTCTTGATGGGGTGTGCTATTATTTTGTTTTAAAGGAGTCCTTGGAAGACCCATTGCAAAACAATGAAAAAAGAGCCATGCAAAAGCCTTGATTTATGTACTGCATGCTCATACTTGGGATGATGTGTGGAGAGGCTTTTATGGAAAGTACAGGATTCTGAGCTTCTTGCCTAAGCAATTTGCTTTAAATATTCACAGATGAAAATATTTCCTAAAAACCAGAGCTAAGTAAATTTCAAAGAGACTCTTCCTAACATTTTATTTCTTTCCACAATGTTTTCTGTTATTATTTATATATAAAAAATTATTTAATTATTCATATGAATAGTGATGCATATTTCTTTGGATGTGATCCTTCTTTACTTTGAAAAGAAGAAAAATATTAACTTATATGTGGTAGCGTATTTCAGCTTCCCTGTCAACGCTGCACCTGCAAAACTTCCTCAAAACTTTAGTCTTACAGACTTGGTCTGGTAAGAAAAAAAGACTTGAAATTCATGGTAAAAGCTCCAGACTAAATTCTGTTGTCTCCCCTGTCCTGGTCACATATGCTTGTCCTCACGCACATGCACCTGTTTGGTTTAGTCTTGCACATGCTATTTAAAAAAGAAAATAATGATTGTAACTCTAAATGCAAAGGCAGCTTTAGGTTCATATGGGTATAGCAAGATCTCCATGTCATTCCTCCACTGCTGGACTTCAAGGTGCAGCACTTGTTTTAGTGACAGCTGTTGTGACAGCCCATCACACATCCAACTAATGCTGCCACTGGCTCAAATCCCCACACAGCACACATTAATTGACTCCCCTAGTTCCAGGTTTCCTCACCACCTCCTCTCCTACTTGCAGGCTTTTCACATCTGTTCTTTCCTGCTTGGTTACAAATACAGTTTCATGAACGGATCCAAACCAAACAAGAGCATGAAATAAAATCCCCATGTGCAATGTAGTGGCAAACACATGAACCTGAAGGAATTACCCCCACCTTATGCAGGGATAAGATAAGAGTAGCCCTGATCCCTAAAGCAGCAGCCAGAAACACACAGAACCCTGGGGGAAAGCAACCTTTTGGACCCCAGAGCAATCTAAGCACTCCCATTCCCCAAGCAAACAAGGCAATAAAAAATAATCAAGCAGCAAGGGCCTAACATGCCAGTCAGTTGCTTCTTATCAGTGCTCACAGGCAGAGATAAACCCAAAGACAAGGAGCATCCAGCCTGCAGAGAGGCAGCCCACTGCTCTGGGCCACCCCACTGCTGCCTGCAATTCTGTCCCAGCCATCAGCTGCCACCTTCCTGGGGGATGAGGCAGATTTAGCAGGGAAAGCCAAAGAGTTCTCATATTCATGCTGAGCTGGATCCTTGCAGCACCTCTTTGAGGCAGGGACACTTATCCCAGCCTTTGAACTGTCTCTTTTCCACACACTTTTGGCAAGGATAGTGCACAAACTGTGTACTGATTCTCCCTTGAGCCGGAGGGGAGAAACTACAAGTGGGGGCTCCAGTCTGTCAAAGGGAATGTTTTTTAAAGTGAATCTGTGTATGAGAATGTACCAAAGAAACCCAATTCCAGTTGGGAACACTGACCCAGCACAGACCTAAGCATCTACTGCTGTTGACAAAGTCCTTTTGGTATTCAGGCAATGAATTGTGCTTCTGAGCAGACACAGACTGTGTATTTACCTTATGTCCTGGTTATGAAAAAATGTCTGAAAATAAAATTCAGCAGTATATTCCAGCAAGAATTCCCCCCCCATAACCATGGCCATTTCCATTGATTCCCTCAGTAACTTCAGGATATCCTGAATCTCCCTGCCAGCAGACAAGGAATCCTCATCAGGTCCTTGCTCATAACTTAACTTTTAACTAACTACACTTCAGTAGACACAAAGATTTTACCATTGCAACTTCAGGCTTCTTTTGGAAAAAGAGTTAACAAATCATAGAATAAAATAGTGCTGAGGCAAAAGAGTTATTTTCCATCTCAAAGCAGTGGGCTATGCCAAGAGGGCCTCCAGCTTAACTGACAGTGCCTGAACAGAGGGAGCAGGGATTGCGTCAGTACCTGGGGAGGCAGAAAATGCCAGAGTGCATGAGAAAACTGATCTCAATTGCTCTTCTGTAGCCTGAGGCAGCTCCATTAGTTTCACTGCCATGACTTTGGGCTTACACTGCAATAACTGAGACTGGAAGCTCACCTGTAGTTTTATGCTTCCTCTGTTGCTCAGCTTTTTCCAAGTACTCCTGTTCTTTGGTTTTTTACCCTGCTGTCCTTGGTCCCACAGATCATAAAGTAACTTGCCCTGTAATTTAATTTAGAGTACTGGAAGAGAGCAGGGAGATGAACATTAAATTTAGGAATTTTTGGCTTCTAGGCTACCTTCCTCAGCGATAACATACTGCTTAGAAAGGGCTGGGGTGTTGACCACATGAAGCATTACTGACACTGAACAAAGGAAATTTAAAAATGCTTGAAGCATTTCGTCTTCACCTGAGCATCCTCTGTGTTTCTCCAGTGAATCTGGACACTGATTTTTCCAGAAACAAACATGCTGAGGTGTAGAAAAGCAAGTATCTGGCCATGGACAGGGTAGAGGCAAGCACAGTCTGTGCCTGCCTGTGCACATGGCGGTGCCCCTGCCAGCCCTGAGAGCACCGATGATCAGGGCACAGGAACGACTTCCATTCTACATCCCTGGGACAAATTAGAATTTTGTAAAGGCAATATTTTCTACTAAAAAGTTCCCTTCTGGGCCTCTGAATATTCACTCTGCAGGTCAAATGTAGTGTTGTCTGATCCTTTCTTTGCCCAGATGGGTGACTACAGCAACTTGCTCATAGGCAGGCATTTATATCTAAACCACGAACATGGGGTATCACCAAGAGAATATTAAAAGATGTAGAGTGCTAAGAAATCAAAGGAAAAAAAAAATCTGAAAACCTGAAATTCGTATGAAGAAAAAGAAAGCAAAACCAAGGATTTGTTTGGAAACAAATTGCCCCCAAGAACAGAGGATTCATTCCTAACAAATACAGTTCTTAGCCTAAAATCATGAGTTCATTCTAAAAAAAAGCAGTGGGGGCTAGAGAGCTGCTATAGAGCATGTTTTCTACTTGCACTTGGCTTTGCCTTTGGACAGTGAAAGGCCAAAGGTTTGGGCCAGCACTGAGAACACAGCAGGTCATGGGAGCTGCTGAAGCTGCACTGCTGGGGAGCTTCACCCTTTGGGCCAAGCAAGGCATTTCAATGGAGAGGCCTTCCAGAAATGCACCCTGAGGCTGCCACGTTTCTCACCAAGTGTTGCAGACCTTCCAGCCTGTATCCTGTTCACATAAGCAATTTTCCCACTCACTTCTTTGCAGGTTTCACAGAGAAACCGGGCATGTGTTTCAGCAGCAAATTCTCTATTCCCTGCAGCCTCACTCACCTGGGAGAGCAGTGAGGCTCAGACTTAGATTAACTCTGCACATCTGTCTTTGCTTTGCAAAATTCTTGTCTTCTAGTACAACTATTATCTTATGTGTCAGGCTCAGGAAGTATCTGTTTGGCCTGTGAAAGAATAAAAGGTTTAAAGGAAAACATCACCAATTATATTTACAAATAACCATGGAAATCCCAACCAAGGTATTCATCTCCCAAATGGAGAGAATCAACACAGGTAGCAGGCATGCAGAAAATTCTACAGAGTTTTCACTATTTTGGGAATAAAAAATGAAAAAGTAAAAAAAAACATTAACTTTATATATTTTCTGAAAGATGTTCACATACAATGAATGGAGAAAAGTCAAAACAATATCATATCTGTGATCAGCAGTAACAAGAAAAAGCTTCAGAAAAGTAATCCTCAACAGAGATAAAAAGGGTTTTATAGAGATTTTCTTATGCCTCACTTCTCTCAAAATGTTTTAGCATTTTTACTGCTGCTAAAACAGGTTAAAATAGCCCTTTGTTCACTCTGCAGAAGGACAGCAACCATGATCTAAAGATGAATTTGTAGCACTGTAGATGCTAGGCAGAAGCCCTCTGAGAAGTGAAATAGTTAATTTTGCTGTTAAAGTGAAGTGCTGCAGATAGGCAGAGGCAGAAATCACACCCCAGCTCCCTTCACAGCAATCTCCCCACAGTGCAAAGCTGTTTGCAAGCTCTTTCCATCTGCTGCATTTACTGGTGAAAGTCTCACAAAGAAGTAAAAATGTCCCAAGTGGGACCACAGCTGACCCTGGTAAGTGCCAGGGACACACAGATGTGACTCCAGTTTTGGGGGAGGACACTGATCTCACACATGAGGAGCAGTTTTCTCCTCAATCTGCAGCTGGCCAATGCAAAGCCACAATTCAATCAGGAGCTCCAGCTTGCTTTACTCATCCCTGTCCTCATCCTTCCTTCCCTTTCACAAGCCTCTGCCTTTAGTTTCTGGAGGCACTAAACCCTTTAGCAAAGCTGAGACTTCTCCTCCATTGGGTTTCTTGCTACTGAGAAAGGTCTACCATAGCAACAAACTAATGAATCAGTCTTTAGCTGCTGGGAAATGGAAAGGACGCCTACAGCCTCCTTAATTTTGTTTATTCTTATTATTCTGATTTTATACACTGTGACTTCGTAAGAATGGCATTTATCACGTTTTCTAATGTTGCTGTGGGACAGTGTTAAAATGAAAAATCTATGAGGAATCAGAAATGTGTCCCTGGAAGAAGAGCTGAATCAGTGCCATTTGCAGACATCAAATGATGTAAAACATCACATCTGCTTTATGCCATAGATTCCTGTTAATCCTTCTCTCTATTCCAAGACAAAAAGGGCATTACACGGGGACTATGTTGAGAGCAAGCATCAGCAGTTTTGAGCTATAAACACTGGTGGGCAATTGTTAATCCAAAACTAAGCATTATAAACCCAGGAAATCCAGTTTAGATTACACTTTGGAGTACACCACAAGAATCCCAGCCATTCCTGGCTAAGTATTAACTTTGTGACTGAAAGTAAAGCCACCTCCCAGAGCCCAGCATTTAACCTGGGCCTACCTGGCCTGCCTTCACTATTGAGAGTGAAGGACACTGTCTGACACAGTTTTATCAGTTTAAAGAAGAGCTTA